CGCTGCAGAGGCGGGCCGGGGGCGGCGGCGGCCTGGGCGCGGGCTCCCCGGCGCTGTCGGGCGGCCAGGCTCGCCGGAGGAAGCAGCCCCCCAGGCCGGCCGACTTCAAGCTGCAGGTCATCATCATCGGCTCCCGTGGCGTGGGCAAGACCAGCCTGATGGAGCGCTTCACCGACGACACCTTCTGCGAAGCCTGCAAGTCCACCGTGGGTAAGGGCGCCGGGGCTGGGCCAGACCCCAGCTGGGCCCCTCCGCCGCAGACTCTGCCCTCCCGCGGTCCCCAGGGCTAGTGCCCTGCGCCCTGCCGGCCTCATTTCTCTTCGCGTCCGTGAGCCTTTCCCTCTCCAGCTGGGTGGCCTTGCATTTGGAGGATGGGCTTCTCGGTGAAATCTAGGGGGAGGGGCGGTCCCAGTGGAAGCCCCTCCATCCTGTTCCCAAAGCCAGGCCGAGATTTTCGTGTAGTCTCCACGCACACTTGCCCTTGGGGCCTCGAGGCCCTCCATCCTCGCCTGGCACAGACCCCTCACGCCCCTCCCACGTCCCTGATCCGAGCTGGTTATTGAACCAGCGTCCCCTCTCGCACCCCCCAAGAGCCGGTCATGAGACCAGGGTGATACATTGGTCCTGTTCCGCTCTCAGGGACTGTGAGAATCTCTCCACGGAAACTCCTGCCCCTTACATTACTCACCCAAGAAAAAAGGTAATGCGATGTGGGAAGCAGGCAGGCAGTGCAGAAGCTGTGCCCCTGGCCAGATAGCCAAAGTGGGTCATCTATAGCCAATTCTGGTGCCTTAGCAGTGCCTTGTGAGAACCAGGGCTTATTTTCTAATTTTGAACTCCCATTTTCTGATGCGCTGAAATAATGAAGCTTGAAATTCCCTGTGGAGGATCTGGGGAGAATATTAAGACTAAAACTACACTAAATTTCTTGTAGTAACTGTGAATGCGGGACAGAGGGACTTCAGCTGTACTTGTTCATGACCTCGCGTAACCCTAGGTCTTGAAGAAATGGGGAGGAGTGTGCCAGGGTCCTCCCGGTGGGTGAAGTACAACGGTGATGTAAATACAGTAACTCTCCAGGTCAGAAAGTATTTTGTCCTCGGGATCTAAAATCGAAACTGCAGGGGAGTTTGTTTGTTTGTTTTCTTGTTTTTTTGTTTTTAAACGAAGTTGGATTTACAGGAGTTGGCATTGAGGTTGGTCAGGTTGGTGTGGGTAGAAGTTGTTTCTATGTCAAACCCCTTAAAGCTGTCAAAGCTAGGGAACCCCATAGATGAGGTAATTCTTCAAAGTAAAGGGCAGTCATCTTCAGTGATGGGCAATACAGGATTTCCCCAAGGAGGTCCAGAGGTCCAAGAAACATTGACAGGTGTGAAAATGTGAAATACAGAATTAAAGGTATCTTCCCACATACTTCTACACATATTTAGCTTTGTAACTAGTGGTACCCACCACGGTAGAATTTGGGGATGAATTAATTTTTTAAGTGTCCTATAACAAGACATTACTACATTTTCAGTGTATTATTGGACAGTTAGCCCCCCCCAAATTTCATGTTGTCTTTTTTGTTCTGCCTTTGAGAAGTGTTTCCCTTACTGCTTTTTTGGAATAGATTATTTGAGAAATATTTGTGCTCTCTGTACCGTTTGTTTTTAAAATGACGCCCTTGGGACCATGATATTAAAATTCAGTAACATAACTATACCCGTTTTAAATATCCAATCTTGGATCATGTAGAAGAATTGAACAATCTAATGAGGTTTCACATGGTTATTTTAGTATCTGATGTCAATAGAGTTAAAAGCAATTCAGAAGTATCAGTGTTTTATGGCTGCACACTTCAAAATATATAAAAATGAGGGATGATAGGGTTGTACCGTGTGATAAAGAGAAATCAGCACAGGCATTATAGGTGGTTAGATGAGGGCTTGCGTGGGTGGAGGGGGTGTTTAGGAAATGGACAAAGGTGTACTTTAGAGTGGGAAAGAGAAGGGGTGAAGAAGGGTTTTCTGAGCAGGGGCCACAGTGGAACATCACCCCCACTCCCACAGGTTAAGAGATCAGTTTTGCAGAACTGCCCCCTTCTTCACAGCCAGTCACAAGTGCAGGTTTTCACTTGTGTTTCTGACTGACCAGCTGTAGATCAGAGACTCCCACAACCACCTTCTTAGGTTTGATTAATTTGCTAGAGCAGCTCACAGAACTCAGAGAAACTTCCTGTGTACTAGATTACCAGTGAGTCATAAAAGTACGTGATTCAGAAAGGGGCCCGGTGTTTATGTGGTCTCGGAGCATGACACTCTCCCCAAATATCCACGTGTTCACCAGCTCCAAGCTGGAACCTGCGCTTTTGGGTTTTATGGAGACTTCATTATGTAGGCATGGTTAAATCATTGGCCAGTGGTGATTGGGCTCAGTCTCCAGCCCCTTTTCCCTCCTTGGGGTGGGGGACAAAAGTTCCAACCTTCTAATCACTTAGTTCTTCTGTTGACCAGCCCCCATCTTTTGGTGAGGAGCATTCTAAAAGTCACCTCTGGGAGCGGTCTAGAAGTCACCTCATTAACATACTAAAAGATACTTTTATAATTTTCTCCATAGAAAAGCCCAAGGGTTCTAGGAGCTCTGTGACTGGAATAGGGACAAAGACCAAATATATATTTCTTAGTATAAATCATCATCTCACAGACACATTCTGGAAAAGACTCATTAGTGGACCCTGGGAATAATGCTTGAAGCTTCCAGACCTTGCCTGCCATGCTAAAGAGCATGGGCCTTATCCCATAGCAACTAGAGCTGGAAAGGCCTCTGAATACAGCATTGGCATGGAGACAGTGAAACTAATTTGGCAGGATTACATAGGATATTTATTGGGGAATGATGAAGAAACAGGAGGCAAGGAAACCAGACAGTTTGGTTCTCTATCCCCTTAACAAACAAATATACACACTTCACATGTCTCCCACGCTGCCACCACCACAGGGTTCCTTGTGCAGTTGGGTTTTTGTTTCTTCCAAACATAGCCTATAGTGCTTGACTCGATAAGTTTTTAATAATTGTGGGAAGTTCACAGAAAGTTGATAACCTATGCTCTGATCCAGAGTATGAAGACAGCTGAAGAATGCTAACTAGCTGCCCCCTCCCCCTGCAATCCCTGCCTGTGTTTTTTTTTCCTTCCAGCTATCAGATCATTTACTGAGCTCCTACTGGGTGTGAGGTACTGTGCTACCCAGTGGTAAGCAGGACACCGTCTCTGTCCAGAAGTGGCTCAGAGCCTGTGGGGAGCAAGATGCCCCTGTTAGTAAGAGCAGTGGTGGAAATGTGTATGAAATACTCAAGGAGCACAGTGGAAGCCCCTCCAGTGGGGGAACCTAAGAAGAGGGCTGTGTCTGGGAGGCTTCCTCCTAATCTGAATGCTTCATTCTGCAAGTTGCCTTAGAAAGATGGTATTTTGGGGTTCCTGGGTGGCTCAGTCCATTAAGCATCTGGCTCGGGAATTTGGTTCAGGTCATGATCTCATAGTTAGTGGGGTCGAGCCCCACATAGGGCTCTGCACTGACACAAAGGAGCCTGCTTGGGATTCTCTCTCTGCCCCCTCCTCCACTAGTGCGCTGTCTCTCTCTCTCTCTCTCTCTCTCTCTCTCTCACTCTCACTCTCACTTTCTCTCTCTGTCTCTTTCTCTCCCAAAGTAAATAAATAAACTTAAAACAGAAACACACACAAAGAAAAGTGATGTTTAAATGTCGTGTTGGGTGTGGTGTGGAATTGTGGTCACCTGACCTGAAGGCCTACGTCTGAGCGGTGAGCTCATAGCTAATTGTGCTTCTGAGGCCAGTTTTCCAAGTTTCAGTAGTAACATTGGATCCACGTAGAGAAAGAGCCTCTTCCACCGAGGACTTTCCCTTACCCTGTCTGGGCTTGCAGATGTGTGCTCCTCATGACTCCGTACCCCACAGCATGGCAGGGAAGAGTCTCTGAGCATGCACCAGCCCAGGTGGGTCACTAAAGTGAAGGACTCATGGAGTTCAGGATCTACAGGAGTGGCTCCGTGCGTGCCTTTTTACAGAGAATCAGGTTCACTTGAACTTTTTATAAAAGATTGTAGTGGAGGGGTGCCTGTGTGACTCAGTTGGTTGAGCATCCAACTCTTGCTTTCAGCTCATGTCATGACGCTGAAGTCGTGGGATCAAACCTTGTGTCGGGCTGTGAGCTCAAGGTTCTCTCTCTCCCTCTGCCCCTCTCCTCTCCTCTCTCTCTCTCTCTCTCTAAAATAAAGAAAAAAATTTTAAAGAAATAAATAAGATTGTAGCTGAAATCCCAAGGGATTTCATAAAATTATAAATGAGCAAATGTTGATTTTTTTTTGTTTTGGTTTAAAAAACACAAAGTTCACCAGGGTATAAAAAGCTAGAAAGACTATTTACTAATTGACTTATTTAATGCAAATTGTCTAGGATGGAGTATTATTTTCTTTTTTTTTTTTTAACGTTTATTTATTTTATTTTTGAGACAGAGAGAGACAGAGCATGAACGGGGGAGGGTCACAGAGAGAGGGAGACACAGAATCTGAAACAGGCTCCAGGCTCTGAGCTGTCAGCACAGAGCCTGATGCGGGGCTCGAACTCACAGATTGTGAGATCATGACCTGAGCCGAAGTCGGCCACTTAACCGACTGAGCCACCCAGGCGCCCCTGGAGTATTATTTTCAAGTGGGATTTTGTACTCATGGAATTGAATTAATCTGATATAACTAGCATAATTTGACAGGTCCTTTAAAAAGTGCAGTAGAGTTTTTTTCACGTTTAAGGAAATAGAAACAAGTTAGTTCTGCTATAGAAATTTATAACTATCTGACATATAGGAAACAAATCAATTAAATTTTATATATCTCAGCACTTGTTTTATTTCTGTATAACTGTTGGAAACTGTTAACTTTGAATTGAAATGATTTCACCCACCTTCACCCCCACACCGGCAACAGTGGATTCTAGAGAAAACACTGGCATATGAATGAGGAACCTGGGCTTTTGAGTTAGGTGTCAGTAACTAGCTTGTGACTTTGGATAAGTAATTTAGTTGTCTGTGCTTATAAAATGTAACATTCTATTACTAGTAGCTACTATTTGTTGAGCACTACTATGTGCCAGCAAAAGGGACACTGTCTAATCCTCACAGCAATCCTGAAATGTATCCCCATTTTACAGATAAGGAG